CTGGGTGATTGATAGAGATTTTATTAATGATCTAGTGAAATGAGACAACCTTTTAGTTTTTTACTTTAATCCTTGGTGCTGTCTCTGTGGCATGTAATTACAAAGCATTAATATTGTCTTGCACCAAATTAAAATGCTAGAAAGAAAAAAATGTAATTAAAGAAGATACAGGATGTCATCTAAGCTTTTATTATAGTCAATAATTGGCTTTAAAAATGAACTGAAATTCAAATCCAGTTTGAAGAGGGTAAAACAAAAGAAGGGGCTTTCTAGGTATCCATCTTTCCACCACTTAAATTAAGGTAGAACCTTATATTTAACATCGATTTTTCAAATCCCTAAAAAGAGGAATTGAAAGTAACGGCACAGTCCCTACTCTAGGGATTTGGATGTGGGTGTCTTTTGGGGGGCCATTATTCAGTCTACTACAGGTGCTGGCAGAGGAGAAAATAAGGTGAGTTCAGTTTTTGAATAGTGCGATGTTCCATTACCTTGGAAACACTTAGAGAAACAGGACTTGAATTCACTAATTGTGTCGAGTGCCCCTGAAAAGTGTGTTTTTATATGAGCAAGAGTGACTCCAGTTTGTATGAGCAAGAGGAACTCTATCTTGGACACTGAGTGCTGTGGAAATTCTCCATGATGATAAGTTTATCATGATAAACATGATAAGTCAGAGTTAGTCCCTCTGACTTGTAGGAAGAGACCACAGCACAGTCTGTGAGCCTAGCAGACGTCTGTGACATTAATATACTAGGTGTTTATTAACATCAGAGAGATAGTTAATATTGTGAGAGTGGATTTGTTTATGCATGCACAAACCAAACTCATTCTTCATAAAACATACAGTGTTGGGTATTAGACAAAAAGTTAGCTCAGATCAGATGTCTGGAAAGCAAGGAGACTGTGTGTCTACATGTGAGTTTATCAGGTAATTAAACTCTCTCTCTCTCTCTCTCTCTCTCTCTCTCTCATCCACCTAAGATATTACAATATGCTAGAGTAGATATAGAGACACTATCTACAAATACAAGTCAGTGCCTAGCACAGTGCTTGCCATATAGTAGGTGCTTGATAAAATGTTCTTTGAATAATTGTGATAACATTTTTTGTTTTTTAAGTGAACTTTAAAAGTATAGGACTTTTCTGGCCCATTTTATGTCTCTTCTTGGCGGTCAGAATCCTACATGCAGAATTTGGCATGAGACCTTAGAGAATCTATATTTCAGGTTATAACGTCTCATTTTTCCCCTTGAGGTAACAAAAACAGAAAGGATAAGTGATTTGTCCAGGAAGATCTCGTGCCATTTTCACTACACTCCTTTGCCTTTTCATAGTCATTTTAAGCTAAGCAACTCTTGAATTTATCTGTCAACTTGAAGAAGCAGCACTATCCTTTACTAGGAATGTACTCTAGGTCTTTTCAGTTTTGGTATTTTTCTTGAAAGCAAAACACTTCATTCCACTGGGACCCAGAATCATGTATCTAATCACACCCTTACACAGTGGATTGAGGCATTATTTCTGCTTTCTGACATGACTTTGGAAATGTGTGTGGTATTTTTTGGATTATTACTATGAATGGGGAGAAGGGGGCTTTTGACATTTAATAGCTGGGGTCAGGAATGCTTATACATTTTGCAGTGAGCAACACAGTGTGTCACACAAAGGAATATCTCATTTGAAAATTAAGAGAAGACAAGGTTCTTTTCCAGCAAAGAGCTACCCTGTATGTATTTACACTGGAGTAAATGACTTCAAATAATCTCCAAATGGTTTTATAGTGAAATAAAAATGATGAAAAGAATATTTTTGAAGAGATTAATTTTATCTAAATAAGTCAACACTGGGTCTCAGTAATAATGTTAGTTACCTTTCTGAAGGCTCAGATAGTTCTAGCCAGGGGTGGGGTTACAGTGGCAGATATTCTCTGGCATCATTCATCATAGGGAAGTCACATTATGTTGAGTAATTTAAGGATTTGGCTGTGTTTAGGGAAGCATAAGGTGAAGTGACCTTGAACTAGTGGCTGAGAAAAATATGTAGAATGTTGCTACCACTAGTCTAATGCTGAGAATGGCACTGTATTGTCAGAGAACATGCAAAATATGTATTTAGTGAACAGAGTTTAGTCAGAAGCCTATGGATGATTTTGGAACAATTTATTATTTATAGCACTGAAAGATGGGGCTTTTAATTTACAAATCCACCATTAAAACATTTTTTTTTAGCTTTTAACTACCATTTATTGAATACTTATTTTTGTGCCACACACTGTGCTTTGCAGATATTATTTCATTTGACCATCTGTCTATGGAATCTGTACATTTATTCATTCAGTAATAAGCAGTAAGTGAAGATTTTTGAGCAGGAGAGTTGCATAATATAAGTTATACTTTAGAACGATTAACATGATGGCTAATTAGGTTGATGAAAAACTGGAGGTACTTAGTAGACAATGACTACAGTCCAGTGGAGAAGTAGTGAAGGCCTAAGCCAGAATGATGGCAGTGGAGATGGAGAAGAGGGGGTGGATTTGGCTGTTTGGATGAGATGGACATAATTAAAGGCCAGTGAGAATGAGTCCATTGTAGATGATGGGTTTGGAGTTATTGAGTTGAAGCAGGATCTACTCAATTCAAGATGTTCTACTTTAGTGTAATCTTTTATGAAACGCTGAGTATAATAGGAAAGGCAAGTTTATAAGTTTGTTTCATTAGACCTCATTCAGACTTGGCAGTGAGGTTCATTGTAGAGAATTGGTAGATCTGCCTTAGAACCCTGTCTGCCACTTTTCTCTGCCTGACTTCGGGCAACCTACTGAGCCACACACATCCTTACCATTCTCAGCTGTAGAATGTCCATATTAATACCTTTAATACCTTTCACTTTGAGTCATTGTAAGACTTAGATAGGATAACACATGTGCCTTGGTCAAGGTGCTCAATAGATGGTAATTATTATTCTTGCTATACTTTATTTGCCTTATTTATTTTCATCCTTTTGTGAGTATACAGTGGAGTTTTCCCGTGGCTACGTGCATTATATGATATCAGAGCAGAGTGAATAAGGAAGCAGATATGAGAATTCAGCTATCTTATATTACACCGGGCAGTAAAGAGATCTGCAAAAATTTAAACAATGCTATTCCTCTTACTAAATTCTTATTTTTGGAAACAATCATAAAAGCAGGATAAAAATTATTTTAACATGTAATGAGTGCATTGTCATTTAAATGAGTTTGTGAATAAGTATTTAAATAATCTTCAGTTTTAATTTTTAATACAATAGATATTGATAGATGTCACCCACATAAACATCTCTTTGGGGTTCACAATAATATTTAAGAGTTGTAAAAGGATCCTGAAACAAAAAAGGCTGAGAATGGCTAATTTAGAGACATGAGCGTGGTCTCCAGGAGGGTGGTGTCAACTTCTCAGAGTCCAGGCTCCACGGAATGTTTTATTCAATTTTGTTTCCTTTGTGACAGCTGACATGTAGCTGATGAAGAAGGAGCCTGGTAGAGAGATGTGAACCTCTGGGAGGGACTAAAAAGGGGAATTATAGCTGGGGACTTTAAAGGAAATGATAAACCTGGAAAGAGTGGTTTTGGATGGAGCTAGGCCTCACCATTCAGTTCTTCCCACTATACAACACTGCTCCCAAAGAGTGTGGTGGGATGAAAGATCCTGATAATATATTCTGAGAATTATTTGTTTTGTGGACTTTTTATCGTGCTTTTGGCATGCACAGTGTGTACTCACTGGCAACTGTTCCTGGAATGGGTCTAATTATAACTTCAGAAAGCTATGTCACCACCTGAGGCTTTACATAGTAGGACTGAAAATCAACTGACTTAGTTTTAATCTGTTTTAGTTCCAAGTAGCTATAGGATAGAAAGCCAGCTCTGAATTGTCTTTATTTAAAACCTCTCTGAAAACAAACAAACAAACAAACAAACAAACAAACAAACAAACAAACAAACACCTCTCGTCTAAAGTCCTGTAGAGAGGGACTTTTGTTAATTTTGACTAGTTCTTAAGGAGCAAGATTAAAAGGGTGTCTTTCATCTGTCTTATATCCTTTTACAATGGTTTTAGAGAATTTATTAGTGTTGATTGCCAACCAGTGATCACAGATAAAGAGGGGTGTGACAATCTATTTTCCAGACTGCACATGTTAGTCATAATATGAAGTAGAGTGTTTAATCAGATACATTGTCTTTCCTAACCCTAATTTTGTTTTTATTTTTTTGTGTGTGTGAAAAATCTTGTGAAAAACAAGATTAAAGGCTTAAAAAGAAGCAAAACTCCTAAATTTCAGGGTAAATTTTGCCAAATAAAGTAATTATTTTGCTTTATGTCATTTACATTTTCAAAGGTTTCAGTTCTATGCAATCTTTTACACCTTTTGCAGTTAACTGAAATTGTTTGCTGTTTACTGTTATTTCCTAGATAGGGTTGCCAGAAAAAATACAGGATACCCAGGGTAAATTTGAATTTCAGAAAAACAACCCATCATTTTTTAGTATGTGCAAATATTGCATAAGACAATACTTATATTAAAGAATGATTGGTTGTTATTCTGAAATTTTAATTAATTAGACATATATTTTAATTTGCTAAATTTGGCAACCCTACCTAAATCACAAGTATTGGGCTGTCGGAAAAGGCATGACTTATTTTCTATGTTTTTTGTTGCAAAAATGCATCATGACTTTTCCGACAACCCAATAGGTTCTTTTGTTTGTCTTTACTTAGCATTATATAGGACAGGTATATATTTTTAAATGTTTTCATAGTCAAAGACAAAAACATAATATTCATGGTGAAACAATTACCAGTAGGCAAAAAATGTTCCTTCGCGTAAAACAGAATGCTTAATTCTCAGAAATGGAGTCCTAGAATGAACACTAGTCTTGCAGATCAAGTTTTGCAGCTGTTTGGGAAATTGCCTTTGGGTACTGGATAAACTGGCTCCACCCAGCTGCTGAAATGTGAAACAAGTTGTAACAAAACCGGAAGTTGGCTAGGCTGTCTTGCTTCTCGTGGTAAGTTTCTCCTTATGTCTGGAGGTAAGTGTCTCCTTATGTTTTCTTGTCAGAGCTCTTTGCAAAGTGTTTAAGAATTGAATCCAGCTAGGTGACAGTACTGAGAGAAGACGCCTGTGCCGACTGGGGGCAATTGGTGACAGGCTGGATGCTTTATTAACGAACTATGTTCTGGAGCTTGTATTGAGCTAATGAGTGTTCACTGACAAGTTAGGTTAATAATATGTCTCATGACTTTGACTAACAAGCTTTAATCCCAAGGAAGTAGAGATTTGTTTGGGATCCTGAAAAGCAGTGACTTTATTTATGTACGAGTGTATTTAAAAATTTTAAACTATGGAATCTCCCTTTTATATTTAAACTTAGTGGCATAATTACCTATATAAAAACCAAGCTTGATTTGGTTTTTAAAGTGTCTTTTAACCTAGAAATTATAGCTCCCACCTCCCTACCCCCGCTGTGTCTTTACATTTTCAGAGAAGCTCTGGGGGAGTAAGTGTTACCTCTGCCCTTAATTGTTTTTGCATTTTGTCATTCTGCCCTAGGGGCAACGGCCAGCGATTTTTCAATTTGTAAATGAGGTAGCAGGAATATTTTTTTACAAAGCTAATCTTTTCAGTTTAGCTGTTTTCTTGTTCACATGAATTAAAGAAGTTGAAAGCTGCAAGTATTGTACTTGGTGCAGAGGTGGGAGACTAAAATTTGGTCTGTTGGTTTATTGAAAACAATGAGCTAAACTTTTTAAAGGACGGTTTTGTTTAAAGGGATGAGTACTATTAAGTCTCTTAATGAGCCAATTATGTTGATTCATTTCGCCGGTTATACCTTCTGTTTCGCACCTGTCCATCTACATGTCAGTTTCTCTGGAAATCACGTTGTACTAGTGCTGTTTTCAATGTCCTCTGTCAGTGGGAAAGGAGATCAAGGAGCAGAACGCACTTGCTGCTTCCAGGAATTTGCCATAAAACACGTCACCAGTTGTAGAAGAAAAATGTGATAATTTGTTTGTATGTGGTTTTTTTTTGTTAGCAAAAAGCAAAGCTTATGGAGGTTCTGAGAAGAGGGTGTTTACATCAGGTTAGTGGAATTAGGTGAGACTTAAGTCAATGTTAATTGAAGACCAGTTTTGTGGTGGGCACTGTGTTAGATGTTGCACAGATGCTCTTTTATTTACTCTTCACAAAAGCCCTTGATATTGGTCGCATTGTCTCTAACCAAATGAGACAGCTGGCCTGGTGAGGTTAAATAATTTGCCCAAAGTCACCGTTGACGAAAGATATCCAGCCTAAGAGAAAACTTATAAGAGTTTATTTGAGCCAAACTGTCGACAATTGCCAGGAAGCAAAATCTCAACGGATTGAGAAAATGCTCTGGAAAATGGCAGTTTTCAGTTTATTTTATACATAAAATTAAAGGAGGAAGGTTACATGAAATCCATTGGTGATAGATTAAGGGGGTGAGAGAAAGCAAAGCGGGGAAATCTCTGGAATTGAATAAAAGTACATTGGAGAGACAGGTACTCCTCCCACACAGTTGGGTGCAGGATAGCTAACAGTTTTCTCTCTTTACATCACATACAGATGGTAATCAGGAGACAAGCATGAATGAGGAATTTTGCAGTTTCCAGCTCTGGTCCGGAAAAAGTTGTTATTTTAGGCACAAAAAGACAAAGAACAGGCCCACTGAAAAGGCCCAGATTAATTTAATGAGGACGCTTGAGATGTGACTTCCCACCATGGCCCACCTTAGTTAGGAATTTTTATGTTCACACCATCCTTTGTGGTTATTTTCAGTCTCCTGAGCTTGTCAGGTATAACATGTGGCCCCTTTTCCATCCACGTCACTAAGGGTATGCCTGCGGGATTCAACCCAAGTCTCTGATTTCAAAGTGCATACATACCGCTCACACTCATAGGACACAGTAGTTGATGGTATTTTAACTGGATCTTAAAAGAGGGGTAGAGGTTTTATTTATTAAGACAAAAACAGTCAAAGTAACAGAATGTTTGAAAAGTTATCTATACACCTTACAAATAATTTAGTGTATTTCTTTACAGTCTTTTCATATACATAGTTTGTAGTTTTTTTAAACTTATAAAGCACTACATGCTTTTGAGGGGAACCAGAGTTTGCCATCCCAAAATATGCCTCTTTGGGATATTGATTATTTTAAGTTGGTTCATTTTAAAGAACAACAGACGTGGGAGAATCTCTGTAACCAAATTGAAGTTACCCTAAAAAGACATTTACACTTCTAAGGGAAATCTCTATTTGTAAAGGTGGCTCTCTCACTGTACCTGGCCTGCTTTCACTATGGGTGGCAACCGCAGAGACTAAATTTGCATAACAAATTTGCATAAATCCTTGTTTAAGGTGCTTTTCCGGGTAACCTCCCATAACTGACTCTCCACCATCTTTTTTTTTTTTTAAAGATTTTTTATTAAAATATAGCTAACATACAACATTATTTTAGTTTCAGGTATACATCACAGTTATTCAACAGTACCCATCGGGTACTATCCATATTTATTACCATATTATTGATTATATTCCCTATACTAGAGAAGTGATCACCCATGATAAGTCCAGCAACCATTACCACGCTATCATAATATTATTGACTATATTTTCTATGCTGTATATTACATCCCCAAGACTTATTTGTATTATACCTGGAAATTTGAACCGCTTATTCCCCTTTATCTTCCCCTCCATTTTAATTTTTCAATTACAGTTGACATTCGATATAACTTTATATTAATTACAGGTGTACAGCCGAGTGGTTAGACACATATACTTTAAGAAGTGATCCCCCTGACTAGTACCCACCTGACATTAAACATAGTTATTACCATATTATTGATTATATTCCCTGTGCTTTACATCCCCATGACTGTTTTATAACTACCAATTTGTATTTATTAATCCCTTCACTGTTTTCACTCTGCCCCCACCCCCATCTGTAACCCCAATAAACCTAGTACCCATCTGACACCATAGATAGTTATTACAATATTATTGACTACATTTCTTATGCTATTCCCTACACCCCCATGACTACTGTGTAACAACCAGTTTGTACTTAATCCCTTCCCCTCTCTCACCTACCCCAATCCCACTTCCACTCGCCCAACATCTTCTTTTGTCTTTAGCTGAAATTATTTAAAGTGACGGCTTCCACCAACATGGCAAATTACTCAGTGCTGCTGGGTCTCTACCATATATACAGGAGGTTTAATTTGTCTTTCTACTGCTAATCTGTCTCATGTTAATTTTCTTATTAGTCCGGCCATAAGACCTTAAAAGGATAGAAGGAAAATTATATTTCTGTCTTCCAATTCAATTGTTAATTAAAAAAAAATTATTTTCCCAGTGCTTCCTGCTGTGAAAATGTAATCTGAAACATTTTTATCAGGGGAAGTGGAAATACTTGACCTATTTTTCAATTTCCCTATAATTTGAGATTCAGCTATCAAAGCCAATCTAATTCTTGATGTGGAAGTTTTCTATAAAGGCAAAGTTAATTACTGGAAGGAAGAGGAGCAAATTTTCTGAAATATTTCAGAAGTCTTGAACAAATTAAATGAGGATGAAAGAAATATGTGAAAATCTCAGCTGTATAACCACAGTAGTGCTCAGATGAAATTAGCATATATTGGTGATATGGAAACTTAGTAGTGATAATAAATAATAGCAATTATTATGTATTGACAGCTTAGTGTTTTTAGGCATTGAACTAGTTGTTTTCACATTTATTTTTTCAGAAGCTTTAGTTCTATGAAAAAAATATCTACACTGCTTCTCAGACTCATAGAGTGGACTCAACATTTTAAATGAGGCTAATTTAAGTTTCAGCTTTTTTCACAATATGCCCCCACTCATTGTTCATTGTGAAATTTGGATCCTTGCTGGACTTGTTACTTTCCATATCCTTCTTTCTCCAAGGAGGGAGCAATGATGTCAAATGAAAGAACATGAATGTTAGAGTTAGATTTAAGTTATAATCCTAAAAGTATATATGCTTTAGTGTACATTCCCTGCCTCAGCTTCTTTGTCTCTAAATTGAAGATAATATTTGCACGTAAGAATTATATTAGATGTAATGTCTACCAGGTTCTCACCAAATGTTTGTTTCTTTTCTTTTTTCTCCACCTTATGGCCCCTTACTTCCCCACTGTATAGTAAAACTGTAATTTTTTTGTCATAGAAATTTTATTGCTTTCCATATATCGTTTGTGCTTAGTCTTGTGGATTGAAACTAAAACTGTCAAGTTCACAGGAGGCCAGCACGGCAGGCCCTACAAACTCAGAGACCAAAATTAACTACGTAGTATATGGTCTGAACATAAAAATTCCTAACTGAACATAAAAGTTCCTAACGAAACATAAAAATTCCTAACTAAAAGCTGGTCATGGCAGGCAGTCACATCCTTGGCCTGTAGCTTCCTTGACAAGGTCAATCTTTACCTTAAGGGAGCCTGTCTACTGTCTTTTTGCATCTAAGATAACACACACTTACAATGTCAGAGTAATCCTTTCCTGACCCCTCAGGGCACAACCCACTGCACCAGCATGAGACCACAGAACCCTTCATTGTTATCTTGTTCCCTGAATACCATCTCTGTGTGCTGTAAAATGTTAATTAACTATCCTGTACCTACCAATGTAAAAGAAGTGTCTCTAAATTTTACTTTTTTTTTTTTTAATGTTTTTATTGGGGAATTGGGGAAGGGGAACAGCCAAGTTGTTGTCCTTCAGTCTTAGTTGTGGAGGGAGCAGGTAGCTCTGCTCCAAATCCAGTCGCCATCCGGCCGCCTGTCGGCAGCGGCAGCTCGCAGCCGCTCAGCTCAAGGTGCTGTGTTCAGTCTTAGTTGCGGGTGGGCATAGCCCACCATCCCATGTGGAAGTTGAACCGGAAACTTTGTTGTTAGGAGCACACACTCTCACCAGCTGAGCCATCCTGCCACCTGTTGGCAGCTCAGTGGCAGCTCAGCTGGGGCGCAGCTCACTGGCCCATGTGGGAA